CCGCTTGCGGCTTTAATTAATTTATTTTTTACTATTATTCGCCAGTGACGAAAAAAACAAGACAGAAAAATGTCCAATGTTGTCCGTTGGTCCTTTTAATATGTAACTTGGCTGCCCCTCCATGTAAAAAATCTCAATCTAGCAAAACAAAACAAAAACTCAGCTTCAGGAGATGCTTGATAAGCAGCGTCCTACCTTTGACATATCACATGGACTTGGAATTTGAGGGACTAATTTATATGTGTTCACTGTGAAACATTCCACAGCAACACCTTGGGTATCTCCAAGCATGATGCAATGGAGGAGTTTTGGTGGAAATCAACTCTTAGAGCTCTCATTCATGAGGCTTCTTCAGCTCCAAACGGATAAGAGTCCTGGGTCGTTATGGTTCGTTAGCCACATGAGCTGGAGTGACTATAAAGTCTGTAACTCCCCATTGATCAGTTAGAACTGAAGAAGCCTCCTGGATGAAGGTGAAACGTGTTCAAGAACCTACAAGAGAGTTGGTTTCTACTGAAGCTCCTACGATCATGACGACCTGGATGACTGAGAAGCTACGATTAAACCAGCTCTGAATGCTGAAGACGCCACCAAAGTCCAGCTACTTTAGCCCAATTATGGCACTAAATAAAAAATGTGGAGGGCTAACATTAGCGTCCTTGTAGGAGCTGATGTTGGATTATTACGGATACAGGATATTCTAATGCACGTTTACCTTGTAGGTGATTGAAGGAGGCAATGCCAAGCAAAAGATTTTCACCTTCGATGCCATGTACAACACCAGCTACTCTCACATGGAGGACAACCGCCGACGGGAGGATCTGGTCTATCAGTCTAGAGTAAGGTAAGACTCTCTACTACTCCTCTTTTGTTATGGTTTCATAACTTTTGAAAGACATAAAGCTTGAGGTGGCAATCACATGTGAAGGTTTTAACAGTGGGGAAGGGAAGGTGAGATTGGTACAAGAGTCCACTAAGAAGCTGAGCTATAAAAAAGGTATAGTTGTTTTTTTAATTTTTATTTTTTGAAAACCTTGTTTATGTTTTCTAACTGCGTTTGAACAGACTTCCTGAGATCCAGATGGAGGATGACGGCCTGTATGAGTGCCACGTGGGGATCTATGACAGAAGCTCCAGAGACAAAGTGATTCTGGCCTCTGGCAGCATCATCCTCACTGTCATCGGTACGTAGTCCTGAGGGCCATACGGATATCTGTAACAATTTAAGTGATGATTATTTGTTACTAGAAGCACAGCTGAAACCTGAAATTTACATCCACTGTATAAAAAGACACAAAGCCTGTTTTTTTCCTCACTATCTGACATTAAATGTGACTAAACACCTCCACAGCATGATGCTGCCACCCCCGTGCTCCACAGCTGGGATGGTGTTCTCAGGCTTCAAGCTTCCTCCTTTTACCTCCAGATGTACCGATGGTCATTAAGGCCAAACAGTTCAGGTTTAGTTCCATCAGACCACAGGACATGTCTCCTCTAATTTTTCCTTGTGTGCATTCACAAACTATAATCTGCTGTTTTATGTTTCTTCTGGAGTGATGACTTCTTCCTCTCTGAGCAGCCTTCCAGCCCATGTCGGTACAGGACTGGGTTCACTGTGGATAATGACTCTCTGACCAGCTTCAGCAGCATCTTCACAAGGTCTTTTTCTTTTGTTCTGGGGTTGATTCGCACATTTCCACCAAATCACTTCATCTCTTGGACACAGAACCGTCTCCTTCCTGATGATGGCTGGACATTCCCATGGTGTTTATAGATGCATATAACTGTCT